TAATAATAATAATAATAATAATAATAATAATAATAATAATAGTAGTAATAATAATAATAATAATAATAATTATTATTATTATTATTATTATTATTATTATTATTATTATTATTATTATTATTAATTACTTACAGGTGATCCTGGAGTTCCTTCTCTACCAAGAAGTCCAGCATCTCCAGCGTCTCCCTAGCAACACGTATCACATGACCATTAGTCACATGACCATTAATCACATGATCTCATGAACTTACTGGATCTCCTGATAGACCAGCAGTACCTTTAGCTCCGGGGGGACCTTTTTCACCCTAAAAAACTCATGGTAACACTAATCTATCAATAATAACAATAATCTATTAATAGTAACACTAATCTATTAATAGTAACACTAATCTATTAATAGTAACACTAATCTATTAATAGTAACACTAATCTATTAATAGTAACACTAATCTATTAATAGTAACACTAATCTATTAATAGTAACACTAATCTATTAATAGTAACACTAATCTATTAATAGTAACACTAATCTATTAATAGTAACACTAATCTATTAATAGTAACACTAATCTATTAATAGTAACAATAATCTATTAATAGTAACACTAATCTATTAATAGTAACATTAATCTATTAATAGTAACACTAATCTATTAATAGTAACACTAATCTATTAATAGTAACATTAATCTATTAATAGTAACATTAATCTATTAATAGTAACACTAATCTATTAATAGTAACACTAATCTATTAATAGTAACATTAATCTATTAATAGTAACACTATTACTTACACCAAGACCAGTTCTTCCTCTAGCACCAGTATCACCAGTCATACCTTGAACACCCTAAGAACAGTAACATTTAAATGTATACATACATGTACATGTAGTACAAGTATAAATAAATCATTGATTTGCATGATGAAGTTAGGAGGGGGTGGAGCTAAGGGTGGGGCTTACTTTAGGTCCAGGATTTCCTTGAGATCCTTGCCTGCCTTTTCTACCAGGAGCACCCTATTAATAGTAATAATAATAATAATAATAATAATAAATAAATAAATAATAATAAGCTACTCCCTCTATCTTTCTATGCTATGATATTGTTCACCTATTGTTCAATATGTATCATAAAATGTAATAAAAATTTGGGGTGATTTCGGAGCCATTTTTTGGAAAAAACCATGGACTATAGCCTTGGGTATTTTTCAGATTTTGGCTCATTTTTAAAAATGGCCGTAACTTGAAAAATTAAAGTCGGAATCGACTCTAAACTTTCTACATAGCATAAGGACATCAATATGCATCAGAAAATGTAATAAAAATTTGGGGTGATTTCGGAGCCATTTTTTGGAAAAAACCATGGACTATAGCCTTGGGTACTTTTCAGATTTTTGGCATTTTTTTAAAATGGCCGTAACTCAAAAAATTAAAGTCAGAATCACTTCAAACTTTCTACACAGCATAAGGACATCAATATGTATCAAAAAATGTAATAAAAATTTGGGTTGATTTTGGAGCCATTTTTTGGAAAAAACCATGGGCTATATAGCCTTGGGTATTTTTCAGAATTTTGGCATTTTCTTAAAATGGCCGTAACTTGAAAATTTTAAGTTGGAATCACTTCAAACTTTCTACACAGCATAAGGGCATCAATATGTATC